AAAAAGGTACCAGGGGCATCTCATGGGGCCCCCTACCAGGGGCGGACTGACAACTCATGGGGCCCCCGGGCAATAGGGGATCATGGGGCCCCTGTGTCCTTGCCCAAACTCAAAAAAGCCTATGAAAAAGGTACCAGGGGAATCTCATGGGGCCCCCTACTGACCCCAGGCCCTCGGGCAGTGCCCGAGTTTCCAAATGGTCAGTCCCGCCCTGTACCCAACAGGAGGCCAACTACAAAAAAGTTACTTCTTTACTAACCCTAATAAGTAGGGGTGCACTGATACTGACACCTTAAAATTGTAAAAAAATCTACCAAAAAACCCAAAAGTATTACAAAGTAACAAAGAGAACTAGCAACTGCTGTGAAATGGTAAATACTTGCAAAGTCCTTGGCAGGGGCGGACTGACCATTTGGAAATTAGGGCACTGCCCGAGGGCCCAGGGTCAGTAGGGGGCCCCATGAGATGCCCCTGGTACCTTTTTCATAGGATTTTTTGAGTTTGGGCATGGACACAGGGGCCCCATGATCCCCTATTGCCCAGGGGCCCCATGAGTTGTCAGTCCACCCCTGGTCCTTGGTCAGCAGAGTTCAGTCAATGAGCAAGGTGTTATTGGCTCTCACAACTGACAGCAGTGGCGTCCCGAGGCAGGTGCGGGGATTGCGGTCTGCACCGGGTGACACCAACCGCACGGGGTGATCGGATCCATCCTGTGGGGATCGTTGGCTTGCTTTACAACTTACCTTTTCTTGGAGCGGGTCCGGTGTCACACTGTATAGGTTGCATGCCGACGCTCATCGTCGGCATGCAACCTATACGGGGTGACACCGGACCCGCTCCAAGAAAAGGTAAGTTGTAAAGAAAGCTGATGATCCCCACAGGATGCATCGGATCTGCAGATTGAGCATAATGGATCGGAGTCCGATCCATTATGCTCAATCCGCAGATCCGATCCATTCTGCGTGGATCGTCGGAGGGGGTGTCACCAAGTGTTACCGCACAGAGTGACACCTACCCTAGGGACACCTCTGCTTGACAGATGTTCCTTGGTTGGAGATACACGAGAGATGTCAAAATGTGGTGAGTTAGGGACCTTAGATTGTACACCCCTTGAGGGTTAGGGACCTTAGATTGTACGCCCCTTGAGGGTTAGGGACCTTAGATTGTACGCCCCTTGAGGGTTACGGACCTTAGATTGTACGCCCCTTGAGGGTTAGGGACATTAGATTGTACGCCCCTTGAGGGTTAGGGACCTTAGATTGTACTCCCCTTGAGGGTTACGGACCTTAGATTGTACACCCCTTGAGGATTAGGGACCTTATAAGTACCTGAAATAAATAAATAATACCTCTACAACAAAACACCCCCAGCAACAATAGATCCACCTCAGGAACAATAAACCTCACTAGCAACAATAGATCTCCCAGAAGCCAGAAACAATAGACACATCCTTCAACATTAGATCCCTCCCAGCAACCAACCCCCCCTCCAGCAACAATAGACTCCTCCCTCAACCATAGACCCCCCAGTGACAATAGATCTTCAAGCAACCAGCATTGGTGGACTCTCCAGCACCCCTTGGCATTACATACACTCAGTGCTGGAGATGCTGGAACTGCGTTCATCCCATGTTCCCGCTTAAAAAAAAAGCCCTGCGCTGAAGTATGCCCGTATGAACAAGGCCTGAATCTGTTACAGGCCCAAGGCAGGGATGATAGTTTTTTTTGTACAGACAGGTTTCTGAAAAAGCTGACAAAGCTGCACAGTTATTCACATAATGTATTTGGTATTGAGTTTTATGCCTTTTTGTGGCTGGAGGTCTCCATCGCGTTGCAATAGTTAACAGCCTTGCAGATTTCCGTCTCCCTTCCCATTAATCGGTCTGTTTCTGAATGACAAAATGCAAAGTGGAAGTGCCTACCCAAGGCTAAAAGATTTAAATGTCATGGCCCTGTAACTTATATACATATATTCTGCTACTGCGGATTCTGTTAATTGACTTCATTATGCGATCGCACTTTTCTGCCTGGGCAGCCACACCGTTCCGTATCCCCAAGGTTAATTTCCAAGGTTCCGGTTGGGAAGACACATTCACTTTTCACTAACCTACGCAAAATTGAAGTTTAGTAGTTATGGTTTAATCCGACTCAATTTGATTCTTGCTAGAATTCTGTGATTCTTCCAAAGTGAACATAGGACGGGCCCGCGGTTCAAGGAAAGTAGTTAATGTTAACATTAGGCAGATATTAACGATCCTATTTGAACTATTTGTAAGTATTTGATCGGAGTCCTCAGTACATCTCATCCAGGTCACTTTGGTTACACTATTCTTTGTATATGCTTCAGTAGTTTTTTAGTGATCACCATTTAACCACTTCCGGACCGCCCGCCCCGCAATGTACTGTTTCCTGGTTTAATGCGCACACATGCGTGCCCCCCCCCCCCCCGCGCCCCCCACAATTCCCACCGACACTCGCTGTGTTTGTACACAACAGGAACCTGCTGCTTTGCTGTGTCCAATTATACATGGAGATCTTATCCCCCCTTACGTATTATACATGGAGATCATATCCCCCCCTTATGTATTATACATGGAGATTATATCCCCCCTTATGTATCATACATGGAGATCATATCCCCCCTTATGTATTATACATGGAGATCATATCTCCCCTTATGTATTATACATGGAGATCATATCCCCCCTTATGTATTATACATGGAGATCATATCCTCCCTTATGTATTATACATGGAGATCATATCCCCCCTTATGTATTATACATGGAGATCATATCCCCCCTTATGTATTATACATGGAGATCATATCCCCCTTATGTATTATATATGGAAATCATATCCCCCCTTATGTATAATACATGGAGATCATATCCCCCTTATGTATTATATATGGAAATCATATCCCCCCCTTATGTATTATACATGGAGATCATATCCCCCCTTATGTATTATACATGGAGATCATATCCCCCCTTATGTATTATACATGGAGATCATATCCCCCCTTATGTATTATACATGGAGATCATATCCCCCCTTATGTATTATACATGGAGATCATACCCCCCCTTATGTATTATATATGGAGATCATATCCCCCCTTATGTATTATACATGGAGATCATATCCCCCTTATGTATTATACATGGTGATCATATCCCCCCCTTATGTATTATACATGGAGATCATATCCCCCCTTATGTATTATACATGGAGATCATATCCCCCCTTATGTATTATACATGGAGATCATATCCCCCCTTATGTATTATACATGGAGATCATATCCCCCTTATGTATTATACATGGAGATCATATCCCCCTTATGTATTATACATGGAGATCATATCCCCCCTTATGTATTATACATGGAGATCATATCCCCCCTTATGTATTATACATGGAGATCATATCCCCCCTTATGTATTATACATGGAGATCATACCCCCCCCTTATGTATTATATATGGAGATCATATCCCCCCTTATGTATTATACATGGTGATCATATCCCCCCCTTATGTATTATACATGGAGATCATATCCCCCCTTATGTATTATACATGGAGATCATATCCCCCCTTATGTATTATACATGGAGATCATACCCCCCCTTATGTATTATATATGGAGATCATATCCCCCCTTATGTATTATACATGGAGATCATATCCCCCCTTATGTATTATACATGGAGATCATATCCCCCCCTTATGTATTATACATGGTGATCATATCCCCCCCTTATGTATTATACATGGAGATCATATCCCCCCTTATGTATTATACATGGAGATCATATCCCCCCTTATGTATTATACATGGAGATCATATCTGAATTCTGTGTGAATAATGGCTCGTTGTTAAGGAGCAGGCCGGGAAGCCCGCCTGCCGTGTCCTTAACAATCGATGACTTATCAGCTGTCAGTCGGTTTCCCCACTGACAGCTGAATTTAAAAAAAATTGCCAGCAATGAAAATTAAAAAAAAAAAAAATATTTACACCAGAAACCTATCCGGGCATGCAAGCCAGCAGGTTAGGGAAGGAATGGGGGACAAGCGGGGAGACGAGCGAGCGTGCCATGCCATTTTTTTTTTTATTTTGGCATGACCTGAAGGGTCTGGCATGGATTTTTTGGGGGGACACCATGCAATTTTCTCTTTAATTTTGGCGTGGGGATCCCCTCAAAATCCACACTAGACCCGAAGGACCTGATAAGGATTGGGGGAGGACCCCCACGCTGCTTTTTTAAAAAAAAATGTTTTAAACTGACATTTTTTTTGTTTACATTCTGCTGTCAGCAGGGAATCCTGCTGACTGCAGTTAAGTCATTGTTGTTGCACAACAGCCTTGTACCATGTGACAAGCTGTGACCAATCACAGCTCACACAGCATTTCTCACTGGCTGCAAGAATGCAGCTAGAGAGAAGGAGAAATTATTGCTTTTACAGCCTTTATGGGTGTAAAAGCAATCAGTGTAAAAAAAAAAAAAAAAAAACATCTTCATCACCCCCCCACAAGTAGTACTGATAGGGTGCCAGTATGTTAAGAAAAAAAAACATAAATAATAATATAAAATAAAAATAAAAATAAAAATGTAAACATTTTTTCTTGAAAACTTATAATTTTTGGTTATAGACTAAAGATAACTGAATAAATTTTGGCCAAGATTTATGAAGAAAGATTATTTATTTGCAACATTTTATAAGAAAAATACTTTTTTTCAAAATGTTTGGACTTTTTCATTTATATAGCAAAAAAAATAATAAAAACCCCAGTGGTGAATAAATACCACCAAAATAAAGTTTTATCTGTCTCAAAAAAATGCTAAAAAATTCATATGGGTACAGTGTTGCATGACCGCGCGCAATTGTCATTCAAAGTGTGAGAGCGCTGAAAGCTTAAAATTGGCCTGGACAGGAAGGGGGTGAAAGTGTCCGGACTGGAAGGGGGTGAAAGTGTCCGGACAGGAAGGGGGTGAAAGTGTCTGGACTGGAAGGGGGTGAAAGTGTCTGGACTGGAAGGGGGTGAAAGTGTCCGGACTGGAAGGGGGGGAAAGTGTCCGGACAGGAAGGGGGTGAAAGTGTCCGGACAGGAAGGGGGTGAAAGTGTCTGGACTGGAAGGGGGTGAAAGTGTCCAGACTGGAAGGGGGTGAAAGCTTCCAGACATGAAGTGGTTAAGAACTTAAGTTAAGAGTGTTAACTTTGTATCTGTATTCTGTGTGAAGAAATTTTTTTAATTTTTCCATTTTTTTTTCAATGCTCCTTTGTAGTAATGTTTATGTGTGTCTTAAAGACTCTCACTTGTGGCAGAGAATTTCAAAGCATTTTCAAAGACTGTGGCATTCGTGAGCAATGTATATAATGATGGACTCAGGCTGATAACCTTTTCAACCCAACGTTCAATGTACAGTGTGGCCAAATGTACTGCTCAGGGGCGGACTGACCATCGGGGAACTCAGGCACTGCCCGAGGGCCCTGGGTCAGTAGGGGGCCCCATGAGATGTCCCTGGTACCTTTCATAGGCTTTTTGGGGTGTGGTTTGAGTGTGGACACAGGGGCCCCATGATCCCCTATTGCCCTGGGGCCCCATGAGTTGTCAGTCCGCCCCTGGTACAGTTCTCAAAACATGAAACACTACTGCTACTTTTTTGTCTTCTGAGTGTCTACGGTTGCTCCGGGTCTTTTACAATCCTGGCTACGGTTGCTCTGGGGCTTTTACAATCCTGGCTACGGTTGCTCTGGGGCTTTTACAATCCTGGCTACAGTTGCTCTGGGTCTTTTACAATCCTGGCTCCGGGTCTTTTACAATCCTGGCTACGGTTTCTCCGGGTCTTTTACAATCCTGGCTACGGTTGCTCCGGGTCTTTTACAATCCTGGCTCCGGTTGCTCCGGGTCTTTTACAATCCTGGCTCCGGTTGCTCCGGGTCTTTTACAATCCTGGCTACGGTTGCTCCGGGTCTTTTACAATCCTGGCTACGGATTCTCCGGGTCCTTAACAATCCTGGCTACGGTTGCTCTGGGTCTTTTACAATCCTGGCTACGGTTGCTCCGGGTCTTTTACAATCCTGGCTACGGGTTCTCCGGGTCTTTTACAATCCTGGCTATGGGTTCTCCGGGTCTTTTACAATCCTGGCTCCGGTTGCTCCGGGTCTTTTACAATCCTGGCTACGGTTGCTCCGGGTCTTTTACAATCCTGGCTCCGGTTGCTCCGGGTCTTTTACAATCCTGGCTACGGTTGCTCCGGGTCTTTTACAATCCTGGCTACGGGTTTCTCCGGGTCTTTTACAATCCTGGCTACGGTTGCTCCGTGTCTTTGACAATCCTGGCAATGCCCCCCGACCTATATTAAGAAATAGAGCATCTTTAACAGTCTACAGTAGCACTGTCAGAACTGACATACTTCTTTTATACTACAAGCACAGAAAACAGTCAGAATCCTTTTTTTTATATCCATTTGCTTTGTTGTCTACGCTGGAGGCAGCATTGCTGGACTTTGTCATCTTTTACACCAAAAAAAAAAAAAACTAGAAGCTGTCTGGTGTTGGCCTCCATTGGTGCCAGACATCGAGCGTCTACATTCACTCTTTTCCAACAAAAAAGCTCTTGAACTGAGAAGCCTCAAGTGGTTGCTGATCCCCCAAGGAATTCATTCTTCGGATATTTTATTACTTTGGGAGAATGTTATGGCTCTGCCGGTGTGGGATCTGCACTTCGTCTCTACCACTGTGGCTTAACGTTTTGTCATTGTGAATTTGAAACAGAAGAAGCTGATCTGTCTTAGGTAATGGGAACACCACAGAGGTGATGGGTCACAAATGTAATCATATGATCGCACACTATCGACATCCATTGACGGGTTCTACTTTCAACATTTTGTCAATTGTTTAAGCACAGCTTCCGCCACATTTTTTAGGCATTTTTGTTAACACTCACACACACTCTGTGACTTAAAGCGGAGTTCCACTCAGAGGCGGACTGACAACTCATGGGGCCCCCCCGGGCAATAAGGGATCATGGGGCCCCTGTGTCCTTGCCTAAACTAAAAAAAGCCTATGAAAAAGGTACCAGGGGCATCTCATGGGGCCCCCTACGAGGGGCGGAATGACAACTCATGGGGCCCCCGGGCAATAGGGGATCATGGGGCCCCTGTGTCCTTGCCCAAACTCAAAAAAGCCTATGAAAAGTACCAGAGGCATCTCATGGGCCCCCTACTGACCCTGGGCCCTTGGGCAGTGCCCGAGTTTCCAAATGGTCAGCCTGCCCCTGATTCCACTCACCGTCAAAAAATAAAAGTCAGCAGCTACAAAAACTGTAGCTGCTGACTTTTAAAAAACAGCCACTTACCTGTCCCTCGGTCCCGCGGTGTGTCCCCCCGCAGTCCGTTTCACCGGCCGTCCTGTATTCCAGGAGGCCGGCATCTTTATTGTGGGCATAGCTTGCGGCTTCACAGCCGGGTACCCACTGCGTATGCGCGAGTAGCACTGTGCTTCATGAATGGTCCTGTAGTCTTCTGGGACCTGTCACATGTTCCAAAAGGCTACAGGAGGGAGGGAGGACGCCTTCAGATTGCCTAGGCGATCGGACTGGAAGTGGGAGCGGGTACCTGTCAAATTCAAGTACCCGCTCCCCCTCGCCCCCCAAAGGTGCCAATCCTTAATGGGGAGCGGGGGAGCAGTCCTTAAAGCGGAACTTCCCCTTTTGGGTGGAGCTCCGCTTTAAGGCCACTTCCAGGCCATTACAACATTTGATAAAGGCCACAGTTGATGTGCGCAGGATGGGGATCCAGATCAGTTGGTCTCTGCTGATCGGGGCCCAGATGTAGGGAGGGGGGAGCTCTGATGGAGACCCTGATGTAAAGGGGAACTTTGATGGGGACACTGATATAAGGGGAGCAGGGGCGAACTGAAAACCCATGGGGCCCCCGGGCAATAGGGGATCATGGGGCCCCTGTGTCCTTGCCCAAACTCAAAAAAAGCCTATGAAAAAGGTACCAGGGGCATCTCATGGGGCCCCCTACTGACCCTGGGCCCTCGGGCGGTGCCCGAGTTTCCAAATGGTCAGTCCACCCCTGAAGGGGAGGACTCTGATGGGAACACTGATGTAAGAGGAACTCTGATATAAAGGGAGATTCCTAAGGCAGACTCTCATGTAAAAGGGGCTCTGATAGAGACCCTTAAGTAAGAAGGAACTCTGATGAGGACCCTAACAAAAGGGGAACTATGGTGCCTTCTGATGTAAGGAGGAGTTCAGATGTGGACCTCTGATGTTTTAAGAAACAGCCACTTACCTGTCCCTCAGTCCCGCGGGTGTGTCCCCCGCAGCCCATTTCACCTGCTGTCCTGTATTCCTGGAGGTCGGCATCTTCAGTGTGGGCACCCGGCTGTGATAGCTTGCAGCTTCACAGCCGGGTACCCATGCACGAGTAGCGCTCGCTTCATGAATGGTTCTGTAGTCTTCTGGGACTTGTCACGTGTCCCAAAAGACTACAGGGAGGGAGGGAGGACACCTTCCGCTTCCGATCGCCCTAGTGGGAGCGGGTATCTGTCAAATTCGGGTACCCGCTCCCCCCCCCCCCCCCCAAAAGTGCCAATCCTTAATGGGGAGCGGGGGAGCAGTCCTTAAAGTGGAACGTTCCCTTCTGGGTGGAGCTCCTCTTTATGGCCCCTTCCAGGCCATTACAACATTTGATAAAGGTCACAGTTGATGTGCGCAGTATGGGGATCCAGATCAGTTGGTCTCTGTACACAGTCTTTTAGCTTGGTTTTGTGATTTTATTAAAGGGTACATGGGATTCCCAAGGAACTGCAAACGTGAGGACAACTATGTACAACAAATTTGGACCAAATATAGTTTCTCCTTCAAGAGCCTCCAAAGCTCTCTCTTGTACCTCCTCAGACCCTAAATTAATCATTCTCTTCACCAAGCTGCCTGAGGTATTCCGTGGGCAAGGGGGACCCAGAAGCTGCCAACTTGAAACAGTCCCAGATGAGGAACTAGTTGGGTTCTCTACCTGACTGCCCTCTCCCCTTATCCGGCCCAGGGGGTGTGGGATTACTCACTCTGTCTCTCCTGCAAGCTTAGTGGGTTGATGGCTGCCTTCAGGCCTGATGCTGGGCTGGCTCCTTCTCTGCTCTACAGGCGGTCCTCTCTTAGGAAACGTTGAGGCAGAGAGATCCTCCTTTCCAGCACTTTGCCACTAGGTGGGCCTCTTCCCTGGGCCACCTCCCTGGCTCCACACTCCAACCTTCACTCCATCTTCCACCTGACACTGAATTCTGCTGATCACGCTCAATCATATTTAATTGCTGTCCTGGCCCCATGCCAAGCCTTCTGCTTGGGGATTGGCCAAGGTCCCTGAAGTATGCAGACCAGCTTCTTCTCACCCCCACCCACTGACTTCTAGAAACCTATCCAGCTTCTAGAGCAAGGGGATGTATCAGATAACTGACCTGCAGAGTCCTCAGCCCTGACCTAAAGTAACCTAGCTGACTCACACCAAGGCTCATAAGAAGCCTCTATCTAAAAAACCCTAATTATTCCCCCCTAGCTGAACCTGAACCTGGAGGTGCACAATATGTGCACCACCACCAAGTAAATAAATGGAGGCTTACCAGAAGCCGAGACCCCTTAATTATAGGGGGTCTCAACCAGCATTGCAATATAGGATATCATCCAGTTCTCCATGCCATGCCCAAATCAGGAATGTCCCAGGCCTCTTGAATCAAAATGTGAACTCCAAAACGATGCCAAATATTATCTTAAAGAAAAAACATGCCTCTCATAGTGCAGTAAGTTTGACAATCCTTTATTTGCGCAAAATAAAATCCTACTTACATACTATAGAGCAGTGGTCGGCAAGCCGCGGCTCGCGAGCCACATGCGGCTCTTTACACACGCTAATGCGGCTCTTCTGTGTGCCGGGCGCCCGCTCCCCTCCCTCCTCTCGGGCGGCCGCCCCAAAAGTCAGGACCTTTTAATCCGGCCCGCGGATGTGGCTGTCAGGCTGTGTGTAGGGGGACAGCGTGACGAGCGTGAGGGGAGCTAGGCTCCTCTCACAGTCCGCCCTGAAGACCGGAACGGCTCGGGAAAACGGCGAGAGGAACGCGCGGAGCAAAGGTAAGTGAATTGACACAGGGGGGACTTGGGGACTTAATATGGGGAATGAATTACTATGGGGGATGAATTACTATATGGGGGATGAATTACTATATGGGGGATGAATTACTATGGGGGATGAATTACTATGGGGGATGAATTACTATATGGGGGATGAATTACTATGGGGGATGAATTACTATATGGGGGATGAATTACTATAGGGGGGATGAATTACTATAGGGGGGATGAATTACTATGGGGGATGAATTACTATATGGGGGATGAATTACTATATGGAGGATGAATTACTATGGGGGATGAATTACTATATGGGGGATGAATTACTATGGGGGATGAATTACTATATGGGGGATGAATTACTATATGGAGGATGAATTACTATGGGGGATGGATTACTATATGGGGGATGAATTACTATATGGGGGATGAATTACTATGGGGGATGAATTACTATGGGGGATAAATTACTATATGGGGGATGAATTACTATATGGGGGATGAATTACTATGGGGGATGAATTACTATATGGGGGATGAATTACTATATGGGGGATGAATTACTATATGGGGGATGAATTACTATGGGGGATGAATTACTATATGGGGGATGAATTACTATGGGGGATGAATTACTATGGGGGATGAATTACTATATGGAGGATGAATTACTATGGGGGATGAATTACTATAATATGGGGATGAATTACTATGGGGGATGAATTACTATGGGGGATGAATTACTATATGGGGGATGAATTACTATGGAGGATGAATTACTATGGGGGATGAATTACTATGGGGGAATGAATTACTATATGGGGGATAAATTACTATGGGGGATGAATTTACTATATGGGGGATGAATTACTATGGGGGATGAATTACTATAGGGGGGATGAATTACTATATGGGGGATGAATTACTATGGGGGATGAATTACTATGGGGGATGAATTACTATATGGGGGATTTAATTACTATGGGGGATGAATTACTATATGGGGGATGAGTTACTATATGGGATATGAATTACTATGGGGGATGAATTACTATGGGGGATGAATTACTATATGGGGGATTAATTACTATGGGGGATGAATTACTATATGGGGGATGAATTACTATGGGGGATGAATTACTATGGGGGATGAATTACTATATGGGGGATGAATTACTATGGGGGATGAATTACTATAGGGGGGATGAATTACTATATGGGGGATGAATTGCTATGGGGGATGAATTACTATATGGGGGATGAATTACTATAGGGGGGATGAATTACTATAGGGGGGATGAATTACTATATGGGGGATGAATTACTATGGGGGATGAATTACTATGGGGGATGAATTACTATGGGGGATGAATTACTATATGGGGGATGAATTACTATGGGGGATGAATTACTATATGGGGGGTGAATTACTATATGGGGGATGAATTACTATGGGGGATGAATTACTATATGGGGGATTAATTACTATGGGGGATGAATTACTATATGGGGGGATGAATTACTATATGGGGGATGAATTACTATGGGGGATGAATTACTATATGGGGGATGAATTACTATATGGGGGATGAATTACTATGGGGGATGAATTACTATATGGGGGATGAATTACTATATGGGGGATGAATTACTATGGGGGATGAATTACTATATGGGGGATGAATTGCTATGGGGGATGAATTACTATATGGGGGATGAATTACTATGGGGGATGAATTACTATATGGGGGATGAATTACTATGGGGGATGAATTACTATAAAAAACTTATTGAAACTAAAAACAGTGTACCATCCTATGTATTTTCAGTTTTAAAAATGTGGCTCTCAAAATAAATTTCAATTGTGGTTTTGGCGAGATTTGGCTCAGTTGAAAAAAAAGGTTGCCCACCACTGCTATAGAGTATTGTAAGGCATTCAATAGAACCACTCGGTGGGGCCGAGACACTCTCTGAGTCAGTGAATACACAGAGCATGGCTTGGGATAAAGCCCACTCGAGTGCCCCCATAGCAATGGCTCAGTTTGCTATGGTGGGCACTCAGCAGGGGGGAGAAGCTGAGAGCACTGGCGGGAGACCCAAGAAGAGGAGGATCAGAGCTGCTGTGTGCAAGACCATTACATAGAGCAGGCAAGCATAGCATGTTTGTTTTTTAAAAAAAATTAAAACTGAACCCTTAAAATCACTTCAAAGTTATTGTAATTAACAAGGAGGTATTCTTTGCACCTACATACAGGAAGACTTCTTTACAGTAAGAGCTTTGATAATGTGGATTAGACTTCTACTGGAGCTAATTGTAGCCAACTCTGTATATCACTTCATAAAAAGGCTGAATGTGGGCACAACACATAACTGACTATTTATAATAAGAAACAACACTTTGGGGTTAATTTACTAAAATTCTAGAGTGCAAAATCTGGAGCAGCTGTGCATGGTAGCCAATCAGCTTCTAACTTCAGCTT